CTTGGTTTGCTTATTATTGGATGGTATCCATTAAACCATGAGGTACTCTGCCATCTGCAGGTACAATTGCTATTACTTTAATTTGGGATATCCACAGCTACATTGCGTCATGTCATTTAACCTGCATATATAACTGAATATTTGTATGACTGCTTTTCTAATTTGCCAAGTAGTTGAGATTCGCAGGATGTGGTCAACCACTGTCCGAATCTGAATGTTCCTGAGTTAATCAAGGCCTTTGTAGGTAAGGCCCATGGAACAATGAATATTCTCTTTCCCATCTAACTTAAATCTATCAACGTGTTTTTAATAAGAATGCCATACATGTTCCTTTGTATTTGTGTTATGCAGTAAAATCAAACGACATGATGTGGGTCATATATCTAACCGCTCTCATCCGTTGTGTCATTGCGCTACACAACTTGATAAACAACAAGGTGACCTAACTATATATACTGTACTTCTAAGGATGGATTATTTGAGGAATGGATCGATGTGGTTGCCCCCGCAGCATTCTAAATTCCGTGTTTTGTTTCAGATTCTGTACAAGGAATACGAGAAAGCTGAAGATGCAAAGCTACTTGCATTTGAGTCATATCATTCTTGATACATTTACGGGGCTTTTACTTTAGGCTTCGTTGGTTGAACTCTGGCCATTTTTGTCATTAAGATGTACTGCTGATCCTAGTCTAGTGTCGTCAAGCTTAGCTTGCCTGTTGTATTCCCAAAAAAGATGTGCTGCTGATCAAAATCTTTACCCTTCTTATCCCTCGCCCATATAATTTTTTGGTCAATGAGGTGAAGGTTCTGTTCAGGTACATTTACCTGCTTTTGTAATGAAATTCATCGTTACGTTTCCTTGTTGAGTAGTTTATGATCCTTAATGGGTGAGATAAATAATTATCCGATACAAATGTTTTGGTTGACGGATATATTGTGGTTCAAATTAAATTTTAGTGAAAACATAAAAATTCAAATTCAAATAGTAGAAAAATAAAAAAAATTAAAGTAAGAATAATAACAAAATAATGAGAACCAGCTAAGCATATGAAAATCACACTATTCACGATAAAATTGTTAATGATCTTCCAAGAAAATATAATCCAGACTCTGGGATAAAATAGAATAAAATTAGAAGAGACTTTTGTAAGTATCAGGCGTTGACAAAAAAAGATTATTGTACTTCGGTCCTTAATATTTAAGCTAGTTGGAGAATTGGATTGGCTTTAATATATAAAACTTCAATTCGCTTTATCTCTTATCTTTTCCAAAATATCCTTAAAATATTCATAAGATAATTTCAATCACCCAACGCCCACAATTGAAGGCAATAGTTTAAGGAGATCAACACATATTTGTGACGAATAATTAACATAACTAATTTTTTTTAATATCTTTAAATTAGTTATCTAACTCTCATATTAAAAATCATAAGTAGTATATACACTACTTTCAATACTAAATATAAGATCTAGTTTTGTAGTGAAAGTATTACCAGACATCATATATATTTTAATTTAATATTTAAATGAAGAAATAAAAACATACTTTTTTTGTGGGGATGAATGGAGAAGTCGATGAAGAAAGATGGGGTAATAATTAATAAATCGTTTTCCCGGGAAGCTCGCGGAGTTTATGCGCCTGAGGACATGACAGAATATGAAGTTTCATAAAAACTTTTTAGCCACGGTAACCAAAATGGTAAACGTCATGTGATCCAGACTGAAGATAGTATTTATTTGCCTTTTTTTTCCCCCATTTCTGGGAAGTGTCTCTTTCTGTTTAGTATTTGTTTACAACTTTGCATGAACTGGCTTAAAGAACCATTAAACCCATTTCAGTCACATTAATCGTTGAATGTTAACTCTTGAGGGAAAAGAGAACGGAGTCCCTGCAATTCTATGCTTTCTTGTCTGACTTCGTAAACCTCGTCTGATTTTGAATCCATTTTTTGCGTCAGGCATTCTGTTCTTGGAATTGCTATTTTGTGGAGAAACCATGATCAGAGCTTCAGGGGACAGGAGGTTATGTTCGGTATCCATCAGAATATGCTTTCTTAAGTTCCTTTATTTGCATTTTGTTCCTGTTTATCTGAATCCTCTTGCTGGACGTCTACTGGAAAGCAAAACTGGTTGGAGGGCTCGAGGTGCCTTTAAGTTCCTTAAAATAGATGAGGAATTCGACATATTGAAGGTTGCTGATTATAAAGGGCTTGAATAAGTTTACTGGCTTTGCTGACTATTTAAAAAAAAAAATTTGCATTAATGATTTTGCCCTCTGGCCTGTATTTTAGAATGACTATTTGATATTTGATTGAAACTTTAAATATGAAACCTTTGGACGTAATTTAAATTAACCACTCGCTATTAAATTCTTGGCAATGCGATCGTTTTTCTTTACACTCTGTAGTAGCCTGCAACACTAAATTTGTACATTTATATGGTATTGTCTGGCCTCTGATCCTACAGTCTTTGGTATATAGCCTGCAACGCTATATTTGTACATTTACATGTCCAATTCCATAAAGGTGTACCTTTGTCCTTAAGTCCCTCTCAACTTCTCGAGATATTTTCTTTGCTGGGGTGAGAGGTTCTGCAGATTTATTCACTTCCTCTGGTAGCTGGAGTCAGGTACTGGTGAATGAATTTATATGGGCATTTTTTTTAAATCGTTTCTAAGGCATTCATTTGAAGAGATGTGATCGTATTTTAATTTTATGACTTGTTCTTGTTCATCTGCAATGGCAAAATGCTCTATGAAGATGAGCGTCTAAATTAAAGTTGCTGCAAAATCCACTCCATTGTTCTTGCCAGTTAAATTCTCTGGTTCCTTCTAGCAAACAATGTCTGGACGACGATTTAGGCGGTTGTTGTCATGCATAGAAGGTTTGTAGAACTCATGATAAAGCCTTCTATTTTTCATTCTTGGACAATCCTTGAAGGGTTTAACTGATGTTGCCCGCATTCCTAAGGAGAAGTGAAGTTTCTTTACATAAAGATGTAACAGTGGGGGAGACTTATGATTAACACTAAAATGAAAATCACAAACCTAAAGGCAAATACCACATGACTTTGAAAGCTATCTCCACATTTCATGGATGTAGTACTCTCTTAAAAAAGAATGATAAAATCCTTTAATATCAGTTAAACAAGTCTTCTAAAGGGAACCGTGAGCCAACTAGATATACAAAGGAATATAGTGGTACTTTGTAACAAAAAGAAAAGCGCTGAGTTACTTTCTAAATTGATTTGATTCATAATAGCATGCCTTTTGTATGGTTAGAAACTACTCATGAGAGTATCTGAAGTTTCAGTTGGTGAAATTGTTGTGCAGTTCTATGTTCTTGCTGCATACTCATTAATTGTCGTTGAAAAGTGATACAAGCGTATTAACTGTCTTTGAAAGTGTACTCCGAACTTCATAATATCATGTTATTTTCAGCCTGTGTTTTCATAATTTTTACTCTTCAATCTATATACCTGGATCATCATAACATCTGCCTGCGTCACCTTTTCATGTGCAGCTGAAATTATTCTTCCCTTTGTCAACTTTTATCAAAACCAAAAAGCAGCAGCAATTCTAGCATAGGTAGGGATTTTGGTTTCCCCTTTTCCTACTACTCTAACTTTTGAGAAATATTATGTTCTCCATAGTTTCTTTCTAAATTTTCTTCCTCCCAGGTGGATTTGCCATTTCTCAAGAATTGAGAGTCATGACAGTAGCCCATCTGTTTTGGGACAAACGCGCCTGAAATTTGAATTTGGCACCCAACGTATAAGTTACAGGTGCCAAAACTGATTTTGACCTTACCGATTTAAGGTAATTTTTACATAGGAGGGGAGGTGGTTATTCTTATTTCTACTAATTTTCTCGACGTGCTGTTTAGTATATAGGTATCCTGATTCCCAATGTGAATTGAGTACATATTAATAACAACTTTTTAAGAATGAGAGGTAAGCAAAAGTTAATCTTCTTCTACTGCTTATGAGATGTTTAACACAGAAGTTCTAAATTTTCTTCATATTTTTTTGGCCAAATTTCTTTCATATTCACTCAAACAGCTCAAAAGTAGATTTCCAAGCGTCTGGAAAAGTAACACTTCTTTAACTATCAAATCCTTGAGTTTTTATGGTTACCCCTTCAGATGCATTTGCAGCTCGTGAAATTATTCCCTTGCAGAAGGATTCAAAAGATCAGCATCACCTGCTTGAGAAGGATGAAAGTCCCTCCAGGATAGATGATGAAAGCAATAAGGTATCCTATAGCAAAAGGGAAATTGACAGGAAGAAATTATAATTATGGATTATTTTTCATCATATGCAAATTGTTTTATTACTTGGCTTTGACTGGGATTCAAACTCGGATTCTTCAGCCCTCCCTGAATGCAATTTAATGAGTACAAGCATCGTGCTCCAAGAAAAACGTTTTTGCTCATTTATCTTCCAGTCTTGTTTTCACTGCTCTTGTGGGCAATTAGAATGCTCCAATAGGATCTATATCATTAAGGCATACGCAGTCTCAAATTTACCAGGATCTTGGTTGGTATGATACCGATCGCTCATGAGAGCCATCCAGTCATGGAATCCGAGAATTTTAGTCTCACCTTGGATTCTTGATCATGCTAGTCACCTTTTTGTTCTTTTCTTACTAAAATATGGCTAGTGGACCAACCATTATTACCGTACGTGTGAACTGTGGCTATTTCTTTTTCTGCCTGAACAATCATTGCCTGCCTGGCATCTTCCTTTCTGTAACAAGATTTTGAAATTCTAAAATTCCTTTCAGATATGAGATAAACTCCAAGCTTATTACTGTTCCACTGGATGATGCCGATGGTGATACTGTTGCTTCAACGAGGTTCTTCGACATAAGCTAAACAAAAAGACAAGGTAAACTGTTTCCTCCATTATTTCCTATGCTTTTTCATATGGCAACAAAAACCATTGATATTGATCCAAACCTTAGGTCTCTAGAGGAACATGACTCACTTCACATAGTTGTTGGGCCATTTGGGACAAAATTTTCTGGTCAAAAGGTTGCTGCAAAGCAGATATCAACAGGGATATTGGTTGATTTTTACATATGGGTGGTGGTGGCGGCCTTATTCAGTGTTGGATGAAATGTTGTGATGAGTATGTTAAGATAATTACGAAGATATATGAGCTGGATTACCTAACTCTGACAAGAAGCCTGGATACCCGGAAATGCTCCCATGCTATCTCTGAGCTGTGAAGCCTGAACAAAACCTTCTGTACACTTTAATGTAAGTACATGCAAATGACTCAGATTTCATCTGCACATGTGGAGCCCACTTGTGAGATGATTGCATGTTCAAAGATGTGTTGCACACGAGTGTCCCCCACGTACATACAAACAACTGGCAGCGCATTTGAGTTTGCTGAATTCAGGTTGCTTATAGTTATGGAGGTGGCAACTACCACAGCTAGTAAGTCCTCTGCAATTAACATATGCTAACATTTGACTTTTGTATTCACCAGGAGGGAGAGGATTTAAGGGAAAGGAGACTATTATCTCTTTGTTACACAATGTGTATGTACTTACTAGTGGATCAAATGAAAGAGAGAAATAAATGTTATGGGGAGATTTCTTAAAAACAGAGCATGTTTTATAGCCAAATAATGATCTATCATGTAGACTTAAATCATTATAAATGAACCAGACCATCCAATTGTTCATTGCTATTATCTGTGTTTTGGATTTATCCTCTTCGTTAATTATAGATATTTATATAAGCAATTGTGCCGTTGCTTTACAGTTTACACCCTATCTAGTGCACGTGAACATGTTGCCTCTTTAATGCGATTGTTCAGCTTCAATTTGAGCCATTATGAGTTCTTGTTTCAGTCGGTCAAATTCTAACTCATTCCCCATTAGTCCCAACATATGATGTATTTACTGCTTAGCTCTGATTAAAAATAAAAAAAGAAAAGAAAAGAAAAGAAAAGAAAATATTGGCTAAGAAAATGAAGATAAACCGAGTGATTATATCAAGAAGCTGGCAATTTATTTTGACACCAAACTTTTGCAGCATCAAACTCCAAACTTCCATGGGAGGGATTTTTAAGGTGGGAGATGGGCTGTTCTGAATCCGAAGGCGAAAAAAAGATCACCAACTGAACCCAAGAACCTTTAGTAATACAAAACTTCCATTTTTTTCCCTACCTTTACTGAAGAACATGTTCATCCAAATCAATAAAGCAGACCCTTTTCTCTATTATACATGTCTTGGAATCTTACAAAACTTGTTTTCTAACAACAATTAGCAGAGAACTCAACTGGAGGGTCTCTCCCTGGAGGAAGAAGAGTGTAAGAACTCAATGCAATCTTCCACAGCCTCAGCTCGGTGTGAATCGGTAGGATCTGATAAAGAACGTGACCTTACGAAAGTTGATGAAGAAGAAACCTTCCTAGATGATTTTCTTCTCATGGAAACAACCCTTACAGTAGCTCTGGCCACCTTTGCTCCAAGCCGCAGTAGAAATCTCAACGACGAAAATCTCGAGTCTTTCGGCAACCGGAAACTCCAAGTTCCGATTATCCTCTTCCTGTTTCCTAATACTCTTCCACTCCGGTCACCATGCTTCAGAAACAAGGTTGGTTTCTCATTTACATCAGGACTGAAACATGCCCTTTTGCTTTTTGTTGACATTTTATGTGTGAGAAAATGTAACGATCAACAGCAGAAAAACCAGTCCTTGAGCTTCGCTTCTTGTGTGATAAAAGAAAACAGAGCAGAAGCAGAGAGGGGGGGGGGGGAGAGGGGGAGAGAGAGAGTAGTACTAGTTTTGAGAGGGGAAAGGGGACAGTTGAATGGACTGGTAGGCTGCATATATAGACAACAGAAATTCCAAGGAAGAAAGCCAAGTTAGACTAAAGATGTGAAAAATAAAGCAAAAGGAAAATAGCAAGAGGGGAAAGAGTTTTATTGATTAATAAAACAAGATAGCAAGAAGGGTTAATACATAATTACCTAAACTGTGGATCCTAATTCTAAACTGTTAATTAAAAAGGAAAATACTCCAATTACAATCTGTAACATGAATAATACTAATGACTAAAGGGTGTGATGTTTCAAGACGCAAGGACATTTGAAATTCAAAAAGCTCAACTTGACCTTGAGAACAAGGAAGCCTTATGAATAGGAAAGAAGTATTTATACGGTATTTGATTGATTGATTCAATTAATCAAAATATATTATTATGCATGATAGGTGATTTGAAGATCTACTTGAGCCTGTTTGAGGGCATGTGCATGTGAATATGGTTTGAAAAATGTTAGTTTAACAGTAATGATTTTAATGGGGAGGCCTACCATGATTAATTGAGGTAAGCATTCTAAGACGAAGTGTGATTTATGAACAGGAAGAAAGAGAGAGAGAGAATCTGAGAAAGATGGAAAAGAAGAGGGAGAAAACAGGGGGGGTTTGGTCAAAAGACAGAAATGGTGGAGCCATGGAGACTAGGGAAGGAGACAGAGAGTGAAACTGTCAAAGGTTAACATATAAAAAGGAGGTGGTAACAGAGACAGACACAGAGGATACTCTTCTAATCAGCGTTGCTTTTAATGTGCTATTTGCATTTTGCAGGTCCTACGCTCTTTGCTTTTTTGCTTCCACTTTGCTTCTATCTCCGACAACACAAACGCTAAGCTCTTAAAGATTGAACCAAAAAAGAAAAAACTGAAATATTTCGCCAAGTCTTTTTTTCCTTCTTTTCTCTATAATAAACAAATGTTAAGGTTAGATTTGAAGGCCATGTTATGTTGTGAAATGAGTGAAAGAGAGAAAGAGGGAAGTGTGTTTGAATTTAGGGAATTTTGAAGTCATATTTCCTTTATCTTGTAGCGGCACAAGGAAATTCATGAGACAGGAAATTTGATGCGTTCCATTATTCCATTGTGGGTTTTGCAGTTTCATGTTGTTATGAGCCTTACCTTTGACAACTCTGTACTGTATCGGCAGAGAGACTAATAATAGAGATGCATCATTTATTTTACGTATGAAATGGGTAAGAGTCTCGATCTTTCTTTTCTTTTTAACTGTTTGAATTGACTTTAATAATTTCACTTCAATAGTAAAAAAGATATAGTGAAAATTTTAAAATTCATCTGATGACTTTTTTCTTTAAAAAAATTTGCTCATTCAGAGGTTAATTAGTAAATTACAAACATGGTTAAGGTCTCAAATGTTTTTCAATTTTGTCTTCCTTAGTACCAATAATTAATTATTCATTTTTAATGTATATGTGATTTTGATATGCTACTAAAATAAGATAAAAATATTAATCATCTTCAAAATTTCGTAAAACATCACTACCGAAAAAAAAAAGACTGAAAAAATAGTTTTATACTCCTCTGATCCTATTTGTAAGATGAAGAGAGAAAATATTTTTTGTTCTATTTATAAATCACTTCATTAAATTTTTAACGTGAATATATTATTTCGTCCTTCATTTATTATAGTATAAATAGTTTTTTTTTAAGATGTATATATTAAATAAAGATAAAATTAAAAAGTTGTTATATTTTAATGGAGAGTTAATACATTTTAAAAAAAATTTTAATTTATATAAAATATGTTAAAATGTCTTATAAATAGGATCATAAGAGTATCCAGAACAAAAGTAGTCAAAAGATGATGAAATGCATTTAAGTTGTTTGACAATTGGCGAGCTGCTGAAACTTGAAATGAGAGCAAAGAATGGGCCAAGTCTTGAATTGTCAGCTTTCACGAGGATGCAGTCAATGGGCTATAAAGGCAGCCTCAATAATAGCCTCTGTTTTGCTTTAATCACATGCCCACCATTCATTAAACACTCCTTTGAAAACAAGTTAGCCAATTCATTTGAATCCGTTTTATGGGCTTCAATGGCTAAAATGGGTTGGCCAAGAAAATTAAGCAAAAAGAATGACTAAAAGGGATGCATTATCCCCTACTTTGAAAACAAGTTAGCTTAAAAAAAAAAAAAAAAGCTTAAATGCGGGGAAATATTGATCTCGTTATTAAAGAACTGAAACTGATTCATAACTTACAAAGTTGTTAGATCAAATCTTATTTTTGATGTGAGAGTTTTATTTTTTTTTGGATTTCTCCTGCCAGTATCCCACACTCTTTGGGTGCAGACTAAATCCGGAGTCGTCCCAAGTGGGACTTTCCAGGATCAAGCCCATACACTAACGGGTGCGTGGCGCCTTGCTTTCCCCTTCTCAACCAGGCAGACCAACTCTCCCGGGCGATGTAAGAGTTTTATTAGCCAATAACCTGTAAGTATCTTTGTCAATATTTTTTGAATCTTAAAGCATGCGTTGACTTTAGTACGTTCGCAGAACCCAATTTGCATAATTTTTTAGGTGATACAATAAGTGCATCAGTTATTAAAAAAAAAAAAATACAAACAACAAACTACACGAGAGTTTTCCCCCTACTTTTAAGGCCACAAAACTTTTATACTACTCTTTTCTGGTTATAAGATGAATAATAAACTCTTTAACTGATTTGAAGATTAAATCTCAAACGATTTGTTTAAAATATGAGAACTTATATCACTTATGTCAACATAAATTGATATTAGTTCTTTTACTATTGATCAACCCTACAGATTTAAGTTTTAACCATTCTAGATAAGAGTAAATGAGCATGTTATGGTATTTGTAAGTGGATTCAATTTGACCTCTCCTTCCATCTTTATCTTTATTAAACGGTGTAATTTTTTTTTTGCCAGAAACTGTGTAATTATTACACGTTTTAAATTTGTTTAAATCTAGAATGGTGGAAACGCTAAGCTTCAATGTTTGTATATAAAAGGCATTTGACAAAATCATATATCACTCGTCGCTATGGAAAGAAAAATAAAGATATGGCTTTCATTACATGTGAAAGTTTTGTCCATTAACTGATGCCATCAAGAAATGGATGGCAAATAGGACAATTAGGTATGCTGTTCGCTTTTCTCACATTTTGCGCTAATTAAATTGTAAGAATATTATACTTTTCGGTTTTTAATATAAAAACTACTTAATTAATTTAGAAATGTTAATAAATTTAAATTAATTAACTAACTAATTATAACAAATGTAATGTGATCTTCTTATAATACTTTTGTATAACATTAGATTATATATTAATTTATAAGTTAAGTTAGTTAGTGTGAGGGAAAATAATAAAAATGAAAGATAAAGTGGATTGTGTATTTATTATTAGCTATCAATTAATTATTCACACAATGAGTTAACCCCTATGGCCATGGACATATAAAATCAATAGAGAGCCATCGATATATGGTGGAAATTTGGTGAATTATTTGCTTGTGGTTGTGACCCACATCTTGAAATTAGGCACTTAATTAATTATGGTTAAATAATGTCTGCCCAAGGAATATGCAATGGAATATTTTCCTTCCATTATTTAATCCTTCAATTAAATAATCGTGTTAGAATGTTTAAGTGTATTTTTATTCAAATATAGAAATTAGAAACACACTCACATTTGGTTAGGAAACCCAAGAATAATATATAATATATTGCTATTAAAGCTGAATAGATGATACATCAACTCAAGTTGATACACACACACATATATATATATAGTTGATACAGACGTCTCTACATAAATTGTGGTGACGAAATAATTAACTTATCCTTTCTCTATTACCAATCATCAAGTCATATTATGCAGTTTGGGGTGGATTAACTTCTATTACAGTGAATGCTCGATTTACAATGTGCTTTTATTCAAATTGCCCAAATTACATGCGTGAAAATGTGCCCCAAAACAAAGCAAGAATTGATGCTCAAATTTGTTTCCTCAAATTAATTACCAGGGCACAAGTCGTTAAGACTTGAGAGAATCACATGATTGACATCTCAGTTCTCAAAAGCTAATTATTAGGGTTGGAATACTCAAGGTCTTATTCGACCTTTCATTCAAGAAAACCCACACATAGCAATGCACTAATCTTCATTCAGTCCTTGTTGGTCAGCCTCTTTACAGGTATTCTTTTCTAGTTAATTACTCCTTCCTTTTCTTATTATAAAATCTAATTTTTTAAATAAGTTTGTCCTTTTTTATAAGATTTTCTTTGAGTTTGTCTGAATATTTAATATATTATTACCTATTTTACTCCTAATTTAATGTATTTAATACATTCTTTCTTCATTTGTCTCATTATTACTCTATCACATTTATACATTTATATATAAGGGTATATTTGGAAAAAAAAATTGCATTTGCTACATATTAATTGTTTTTAACTAATTTTATATTGTTTTCTTAAACCGCGTAATTTAGTTAAAAAGATCTTATAATAAAAAACAGAGAGAGTAATTCTCAATGAAAACACCATTATAACGCGCACAAGTGTTTAGATGAATCACATCCAAAAGTTAGTTATTAGAATTAGGAAACCCAAAATCTTGTAAAGTATCTCATTTAAGAAAACTCCCCTAATATTAGACTCATAACATGTTGCTACAAGTCCTTAAGTTTGTTCCTTTTAGGTGCACATCATTCACCGATTTTACCCATACCTCACTAAATTTAGCCACATCGCTGCTTCGTTCCATAACTTATAATTCCATTGATTGAGACCGCCATATGTTTTTAATTAAGAAGCAACATTGAAGACAGAAGACAAGTACGTTGGCTTTAAAATAAATCTGTAGCAAAATTTCTTACTTCTTTAGCTACTTTGTGTAAGTAGGAGAAAGATCTAAGACCAGTATACATGCAAAGGATGACGGTGTTTATTTGATACAATCCAACGTAAGACAAATACCTAGCTAGAAGACTAGGATTTTTACACCACCAGTAATTTTTTCATCAATGAGAGGGGAGATTTCAAGATATTTCATAGGAAAGATGCCTATATTAAAACCAACCGAACTGCAAATTTTCTGCTTGATGTTTTCCTTGACTCCACTACTGAAGAATAGCTGGGATTTATGAGGATTTGCATCCAACCATGTTGCTTTTGAAAATTCAAGGAATGCCTCTATCAAAACTTGCAGTTTTAATAGAACATCAGAAGATCATTTAATTGCAAAACATGAGTTAATCAACTTCAAATCTTTATATACAGGATGAAACCTAAACGGCCTGTCTTTAGGAATCATATATCATAATCAATTTAAATATTCCATGCTAAGCACAAATAATAGTGGAGCAATGGGATTATCTTACATAATCCCTTTTTAACCTTTGAAAAAAAAAATCATTTTATAAGTCTTAACTTCTCTTTTAAATGTACAAAGTAATTTTTTGATAAAAAAATTTTTCTCCCAAAAAAACATTCTACTCGTAGAAATGGAAGGATCTAAAAAAATGCTGTTAAATCTTAAAGCCCTGTGTGAAGGGGAGACCGGAGAGTTTTGAGTTTGGGTCAAGACGTTAGATAAAAAGAAGAATTACAATTAAGTCTTAATAAAAAGAAATAATTATCAAAAAATCTCAATAACAATTTGAGTAGCATGTAGTGACAAGTTTTAGAGTGGAGAATGATAATTTCAGAAACTTATTTTAGATAGAAAAAATGATAAATAAAGATCTCCCAATATGTGAAATTGCTATTTGAGACTTTTAATTTGAAAAATGACAAATAAAGACCCGATCTCATATTATAAATATGAAATTTTAGTGAAATGTCTGAAATGTTCCTAAGCCAAGTTGTGATTTGGTCTACTGAAGTTGTCATTCGCTAAAGTAAACTTGTCATTTCTCATAATCAACTTATTATTTGGTATACCCTCAGTCAAGTTGTGATTTGATTTACTGAAATTGTCATTCGCTAAAGTGAACTTGTCATTTCCTATAGTTAACTTATCACTTGACCGAGGGTATTTATAATATTTCACCAAAATTTTATATTTACAATATAGGACCAAGTTGTTATTTGCCATTTTTCAAATTGAGAGTCACAAATTATAATTTCATATATTGGGGTCTCTATTTGCCATTTTGCCTTTTATATATATATACTCCTCCGGTCCTAATTATAAGACCCAATTGACTTATTTGAGGAAATTAAGGAAGTAAGTTAAGTTGGTTATTTATAATAAATAAGTGTTGTCATTCCTAAAATATCCTTGCTAATTAAGTATATTGGCTAAAACTATCATTATTAGAAGGATTATCTTGGAAAAAAATGCATAAATATAAGAGACAAAATGGATTGGGTCTTATAATTAGGACCAAATAAAAAGTCAAATTGGGTCTTATAATAAGGACCGGAGGAGTATATATATATATATATATATATATTATCCACAAATAGTGGGAAAGGAAAAGATATGCCTTGTGATCTTAAGATAACCCGAACGGGTAAGAAAAGACAGCGACCCAATGAAACAGCATATGCTCTACTTCGTTCCCTTTTGATTCCTCGCAGTCCCGCCATGAGAGAGAATATCCATTGTTCAGAGTCCCCTCCAATTATGTTAGATTCTTAGATTCCTTCATTCAGAGTCTCTTACTCTATTGATTTTAACCAAAAACTATAATTCAAGGGCAAGCACCTTTATCCTATACTCTTCGCATCTTTTAACATCATGAATTCAACTTCCATAAATCCCTCTATCTCTCATCGTTTCCTTTCATCATCTTTCCTGTCTTCTTCATCTTCTTCCTCACACTCTCTACCTTGCGTCAGATTTCATCAATTTCAGTCTGTAGGAGCAATACCCATAAGTTTTTCTCCCAGACTTTGCCCTTTGCAGGGATCAAAGAGAGTGAACAGTAGAAAAAGCTTCGTCCTTGAATCAAGTAATATGACCATTGCAGATGTTAATCTCCACGGCGAGGAGGAGGAAGACAACCATCCAGCTTTGCTTGATTCGGAGAACAATTCCAGGCCTCGTCGAATTGCTCTCTTTGTTGAGCCTTCTCCTTTTGCGTGAGTCTTGTGACAAATAGCCTCTGCCCTCTTCTTTTTTGGCATTGTGAATAATTTTCAGTGTCCATTATAGCTGATTGTGGGATGTACGAAATCTCTTTACGTTTTTCTTCCTTTCTTTAGGATAGTACCGAATTGAATTGCACTTGGTGCTCTTATTCAGTATTCACTTCATGGTGTTTGATGAATTGACTGTGAGAGCATGAGTTCTAACATCAGAAGCGATAGACTTTCCTGGCAGCTTGCTTAAACACTGAACGTCATCAATTTTTTGTTTTTAGGCTTATAAATATCAGTAGGGCCTTCTTTGCTCTCTATGTTGCTTACGACCGCTGATATTCTACTCGGACTGAGCATATATATTGTTGTGAATTTTCATGTTGATTCGATCTTCCTTCTCGATATTAAGAATCTTCAGATATGGCGGATGGGGTCTTCATAGTTCTCTTTAAGTACTTTCACCGTTGTGAAGTTCTTGCTTTGTTTTGTAATTGAGTTGACTTTGCTTTATCAATCTAATCATTTGTTGCTCAACTGTGAAAATGGTGTAAATTCTAGACTTGAACTAGCTTATCATCACGTGAACAACAGGAAGGAATTCTTTCTAGTAAATGTTGAGGAACAATTAATCTTCTAAGTTTTAGTTCCTGCCTGCACTACGGTGGTATTCATAATGCATTAACAATGCTTTGTGTGATAAGAGATTATTACGTTTGGGGAAGGAACTTAAACTTATGTCTTTATTTGAACTAAAATACTTATTCAGAGCTATATCCATTTTACAGATATGTCTCAGGATATAAGAATCGGTTTCAGAATTTCATCAAATACCTACGTGAAATGGGAGATGAGGTATTTGTTTCCCCTCAATTTCCTTTATTTCTACTATCTTTGCATGTGTTTTCTTTTAAAATCTGCACTTGTTGCTTTTATTTAATATCCTCAGTTATTCAGAACAAAGGTAGGATAGATAACTCCAGCATTAATATTTCGTATGGCAAGAATGATTTTACTAATTTGAATTCCCTGTTTTATTAACTATTCAAACTGCCATCTTGTGACTTTTTTTTTTTTTTTTGAAGATTTTGAACTATAAGTGCTCCAATATTAAAACTAAACTTTATTGATGTTACGTTCATTATTGTACTAGGATTCTCTTGCTGAAGTTGCAAGATACTCCCTCCGTTCCTTATTATAAGAGACATTTGATGCTTATGGCATGTTCCTATATATAAGAGACACTTACAAGTTGTCTCTACTTTTTTGTGTTGATTTACTATTTTACCCATATTTATTATCTCCAACTCACACTCTCTTTCCCTCCTACTTCTCTTTCTTTTAATAATTTAATTGTTCTCTCTCATGCTCTCTCTCCTTATTAATGAGGGTATTTTTGGAAAAAAAAATTATACTTTTTACACATTAATTGTTCTTAACTAATTTTAACTGTTTTTTTTATCAACGTACTTCGGTTATTTGTCTCTTATAATAAGGAACGGAGGGAGTAGCTAGTTAGAAGCGCCAGCATGAAGTACATTTAATTGATATACAATTTCTGCGAGCATGTTTTAATATTAATAGTGACCTCATTTGTGACTACTGTAGGTCATGGTCGTGACCACACATGAAGGAGTGCCCCGGGAATTTTATGGAGCAAAAATAATTGGGTCGCTGAGGTTAATTAAAATTCCTTTCTCTTGCTGCCTGGTTGCTTATCTCACCTTTTTCTTCATCTGTTGTTTATTATATTGTAAAATTGTTTTTCGTGAATCTTAAACTTGGGTTTCTTTTAGGCAAGAACAATTTGGCGTTTCTAGTGATTTTCTTTTGATTATTGATCCTCCAGGTTAAGTTGTGCGCAGGTATAGTTGCGATCTCTGACACTTCTTTCTACAACAATTTTGACATGCAGCTTCCCTTGTCCATGGTATCAGAAAGTTCCCCTCTCCTTAGCACTTAGTCCAAGAATAATTTCAGCGGTTGCCAGATTTAAGCCGGACATAATTCATGCATCATCCCCTGGCATAATGGTCGGTCAACAACTCATTTTCTCTTATCAATTTGGACACACTGCATTTACAAAAGTGAATATGTATAAATGAGCGCGCCCGTGTGTGGTGTATTCTAAGAGTAATAAACAGAGATATAACGGGTACAATGGTTAAATTGAAAGCAACATAGAGTCGCATTCCTTTGAATCCCCCCCTGGATGTAAATGATCCAATTCGCGCCTTCATTCTACTCAAAAGGATATTGTAGAAATAACTTGACTTTGGCTATATTTCAGGTTTTTGGCGCCCTTGTCATTGCGAAACTCTTGTGCGTGCCTCTTGTCATGTCTTATCATACCCATGTACCAGTGTAAGCAGTAATCCGTGTTCAGATTTTTATTTTTATTTGTATTTTTACCATTTTACTTGCGGCTTCCTACTTCTCCCTAGGGCTAATTGCTTTTCCAATGTTGTCTTTAGGTACATTCCAAGATACACCTTTAGTTGGCTGGTGAAACCCATGTGGATGATCATAAGTATGTGCCCTATCTTTCTGCCTTAATAGGATTAAGGCTCAATATTTGTCAACATGACATGAAGTTTTCCTGTTTTGTACAGAATTTCTTCATGGAATGGCAGACTTGACTCTGGTGCCATCAGCTGCTATTGGGAAGGATCTTGAAGAAGCAAAAGCAACAGCAGGTGAACAAAAAGAAAATCCCTTTCCTGGATAATTGTCTGTCAATTGTAACAGTAAAGTTAAAAGTCTTGCTTCTGCTGTTCGATGTCCAGCTAACAGGATTCGTCTTTGGAGTAAGGGTGTTGACTCAGAAAGTTTCCATCCTCGATTCCGGTCACATGAAATGCGAGTAAGACTGAGGTAGGAACCTTCTCACATTTCTTTCATATATATCTTTTTAACATAAAAGGATGTCATCTTATTACCTTTTTATGCCAAACAGCAATGGTGAACCTGAGAAACCCTTAATAATTCATGTTGGACGACTTGGAGTTGAGAAGAGCTTGGATTTTCTCAAAAGGTAGAGTCCTTCATCCAGCTTATCATTTTTCCTGAAATCTGTCGTCCATCTCAAAAATCAGAAGATTAACCTAGATCTATGAAGGCCTCATGATTATCATTTACGGATGTAATGATATTGATCTTGAACCTTTACATTTTGACTTGCCTATGCCTGTAGCTTTCTCTGCTACTTTGATCCATGCAAGATATTTCAAGCATTATAGTGTGAATATCTGCATACTGTCTTTGACATTCAAAACACTTGATTTGGCAGGGTCATGGACAGACTTCCTGAAGCAAGAATAGCATTCATTGGAGATGGCCCGTACAGGTAATTTAATCTAACTTGTCCCTGTTAGCTACCATTACCTTGTGTTCGTAATCATGTTATGGCTACTGTTACCATAAAAATTTTCTCAAAAGGAAAATATATGGCACCTTCTACTAAATTTGCTTCACAACTGACAGGGAGGAGCTGGAGAAAATATTTGAAGGTATGCCTGCAGTATTTACAGGCATGTTAGGAGGGGAAGAATTATCTCAGGCATATGCAAGTGGAGATGTCTTTGTGATGCCTTCAGAGTCTGAGACGCTTGGCCTCGTGGTCTTGGAGTCCATGTCTTCCGGTGTTCCTGTGGTGGGAGCACGTGCTGGAGGAATCCCAGATATAATCCCTGCAGATCAAGAGGGCAAAACTGGCTATCTCTATACTCCTGGTGACCTTGAAGACTGCTTGAGCAAGCTAAAGCCATTGTTGTACGACAGAGAGTTGAGGGAAACCATGGGGAAAGCTGGGCGGGAAGAAATGGAGAAGTGTGATTGGAGAGCAGCCACTCGAAAGATTCGGAACGAGAATTACAACACAGCCATATGGTTTTGGCGTAAGAAAAGAGCTCAGTTACTGAGGCCTTTACAATGGCTGGCAAAACGTGTTTTCCCATCGCCAGGACCAGAAGCTATCAACTACAGGTAAAAAATGTGATGCAACATTCAAGTAACATATTTTTTGAGCCTAGGCTGGTTTCTAGCAAGCATTATTATGGCTTCAAAGAAGCCTTGTGTTGTGTGGTGCAGAATGAGTGAATGTGTGATCGATTGTGATTGTCTTGCTGCCCATTCAGTGTATATAATGGAACAAAAAATCCTAGTAGCCTTCCCTTTCATGCTGTGCCATGACTTTTTAGAATGAAAATTTGTGATGCCTTATATCAAGCCAGTCTGATTGGACGGTGGGAACCACATCAAGAGAAATTCTGGAGCATATGTGGTTTACTGAAATAAATAGATGTAGCCTCTACTAGTTCCCTGAACACATCCTTTTTCACCTAACAATGGATGGACGCTTTTCTTCTGCAAGTGTGGTTTGGTTATTTCAGTTTGCGCTGAGTGCCTTTTTATTGTATTACAAATATTTGCGTATAAAATCATTCTTCCTGTTGGTTTAAGTGCAAGGTTCCCCTAAAACTGGTTTTTCATCATCAAATGAAAAGCCGATAGCCCAAAACCAACTTTTTATATCTTGTAGCTTTTCCCCCTTTTTCTATCTTGGATTTAGTTCTCTCTCACTTCACTTACTAACTCCATTTTTAAGCAGTTACAACTTACAACATGAACTGTATATAATATAATCAAAGAAAAGTACATAAAAAAGAATAATATAAAGGGAGAACCCAATCTTGTATACAGCCATTTGATTTCGTGTTATTTTTATCTTAGAATTTACGATTTTACATTGTTATAATGCTCATGAGAAACATTTTTTTTTTCAAAAAGGAAAGTGTAGAATAGGACTGACTGAAACCATAGTTTCTAATTGTGTCCAAGCTTTTTTTTTTTCAAAAAAAAATCTCTTGAACCGAATGTGCCATGTATTTAAAAACAAAAATGAAAAGAGTGGTTTGATATAATAAAATGAAGAGAAAATAAAAGGGGAAAAGGGTGGATGTAGTGAAAAGAAAAGAGAGGAAACATGAGATGGATAAGGCAAGGAGAAGAGGTTGAAGCAGCGGAGAGAGGCAAAGAGAAGAGGTTGAAGCAGGGGAGAAAGAAAAGAAAAGGGGAAAAGGGTGGATGTAGTGAAAAGAAAAGAGAGGAAACATGAGATGGATAAGGCGAAGAGAAGAGGTTGAAGCAGGGGAGAGAGGCAAAGAGAAGAGGTTGAAGCAGGGGAGAGAGGCAACTTAACTGCATTCGGCCGTTCTCTGTCCCTTTCTTTTGGGTCCATTCATTCCCCCGCCCAACATTCTCCCCATTTCATTGCCTAAATATTTGGAATATATTTTTGAATGTTTCCATTCTCTGTCCTTTTCTCATTCTAATTTTTCTGCCCATTTGGTTCAATTGCTAAATCAACAATCAATTAGATTGAAAAATCACTCATGAAACTGAAGGTTTTCAAAATCAAAACGACGCATGAAATTGGGTTATATGATTGAAGCCATAATTTTGATCAGAATGACAACTTTTCCTATCACTTTGCCTCGCCTACAGACATATACCTTACTTTGTTACTAGTATTTTGGTTTGGCAGCAAATCAATTCTCACTTCTATTCGCAAAGCATGATCGTACGATTAATATAAAATAATAATTTTCTGTATTTGAACTATCATCATCATCCTATGCTTGACCTGTTTTAAGTAAAAAGTTAGAAGCAACATAAACAAATTTGTCCCGGATAAAGTAAGAGCTATTATTCATGTAGACCCACATGCTCTGTTCCTCTCTGCTTGTCTTCCCTGTCCACATCAACGTAGTAAGTAGGCAAATTAAAATCCATTGAATCAAAAGCTCAAATGATTTTGATTAAATATATTGATAGAAGGCTACAACACACACTACGTTAAAATTCCCAAGTCTCGTCTAACCTACCATTTCATCTCTATTTTACATCAGCCATCATGCACACCTCTTTTACACACTTTGACCACTCTCCCAAACTACATTCTTAAATTCATATATTACTAGAACTCACTCCATCACTTACCTCGTTAACTAATAGGATAACCTTCAAACACCCTACCTGCAATCTTAGTCATTCTTCTCTCTCACCTTTTTTTTGCTTTTTTTTTTTTTTTGGTGGTGGTGGTCATGTTATTCCATGTGTGTCACGTGGAAAGTGAAAGCTGCACTGTCTTCTCTCTCTTTTTTCCAGAAAATTACTAGCCAATTACACAACTTTGACCCCACCACACGACCGTTGACCAACACTCAAAAGACGGTAAACTCTTGTGTCGTTTAGTGGCGGCCTCACTGCCCTCACACACCATCCGTCCCGTCGTTTCCAACTCTCGCCCGCTTCCTTCTCTTTATGTTCCTACTTCACGGCACAACTCACACGATCGGCGATACGTACTGCATAAACTCCGGGTCATTTTCCAGCCCGGCCATGGTCTCCGGCGCCAAAACCACTTCCAGATCAACACTCCCGTTTCCTTCTCTTCCCGGAAACGCCGAGATCTTCCCGTCAAATTTGTTCGCCTTCCCACTTCTCACCGCCAGCGGTCGGCCCCATCCGAAATCGTTGTCGTACATCGGAAAGCGCGGCGAGCTGCCCATCGTGATCGATGCGCCGTCGAAGTTCCCCAGGGGAAACAACCTCGGAGCGTTCTCCCAATCCTTTATGCCGCGGCGCACCATGGCATCGTCGTGGGCGACGACGTTTTCGTGAAGAAGATTCGCACACCATCGCAGATCGCGAGAGAGAATCTCGCCGACTTCAGCGGTGGTTGGGATGCTCTGAATCGCGTTGCCGAAGTAGTAAGCGTCCATCTTGGGCCTCAGACGGTGGCGACAGTTCACCGCCATGCGAAACGTCGACGTTTTGGATGGGTCCAGCTTCCTCGCACGTGTCACGGAGCGCCACAGCTGAGCAGATAAGGATTGGAAAGATGAGATCTCTCCAGTCCTAGCGGGTACGCCGTTGTTATCTGCCTTTATCTGCCCGTTAGTAACGCCGTTAACGGTTTTCCAACTGTCGTTCACCTGCTTCCCCATTACCTCCGTGGCATCCGCGAAACCGTTACGGACGCCAGCGTTCGCTCTGAGCTTCAGCTTCTGAATTGCTTCCCTGCTGAAGTGGAAAACTCTCTCCCGGAGAGGCTGGTCGGCGTCGAATGTCAGCTTTGGGCCACCTTCGGGTACTCTCAGCACGGCGGCAGAGTCGAAAACGGTGTCGCGGGTGAAATCCGGCGAGTTCGATATCTTCTTCGCGCCCTTACAGATCTCAGCGAAGGTATTGAAGAAGTGCCAGAAGGAAGTCCCATCAGTGAGGGAGTGATTGACGGTGCATCCTATGAACACCCCATCGGCGAGCTCCGTGACCTGGACGGCGACGAGGGGGTTGTGGTGGCCGGAATAAGAGATGGTGTTATCGTAGACAAAGAATTCCTTAAAGCAGTTGGGAACATCCAGAAGTTCAGGGGAGTAAATAGCGTTGATACGGAGGTGTTTAGCCCTGGCGTGGACAAAATCAACGCCGGCATCATTGCAGAGGATGTGGACGTAGCCGAGATCATCAGTGATGAGGCGGCCGGCGAGGGCGGGGAAATGGGAAAGAGTAAGAGAAAGAGAGTGTTTGAGGAAGACGATGAGGTCATCGAAGGAGTAAGGAGGGAGGGTAAACAAGACACCCTTTTGAATGTAGTGGCAAGAGAGCATGGGGAGGTCAGAGACGGAAAGCCTGAGGGTTTTAAGTGGGGATTTCTGATCTGGGATGATGATGCATTTGGAGATAATGGTTGTAGAAGCAGAAGGCATGATTGCCAAGAAGAAGAAGAACGTAAGAGTGAAATTAAGCGGAGGGAACAGGGAAGAGTTGGGATTGAGAGGAGGGACGGAGCGAGGGAGATATATATAGAGGGGGAAGGGGGAGGATCCACAAATTAAGATGCGATGGATTTGAGTGGCTAGTGTTTTTTTTTTTTTTGGGACTGAATCGGGGGGGGGGGGAGATTGAAGCTAAAGATTGAAGGAAGGATGTGAGATGTTGCATCAGTGCCTGGACTAATTTTTTTATTTTTTTTAATGTTCTCAAGGTTAATCAGTAAAAAATAAAAAGGAATAAAAAATGGAAAGTATGAGATGACGTGGCAAGAGGATGGGAAAAGAGGACACCTGGAAGAGGGGCTGTGAGATTTTATTTTATTTTTTATTAATTAAATTTTGTTGTTGGGAATGAGAATTACAGGAAGCCGTGAGACTGAAACATAATCCAGAGTCAACCGTGATTTTGCTGCGCAACAAATCCCAACCCCCTGCTCTGCCCTGCCCTGTTCTGTTCCCAAGTCCAAGCTTCTCGTCACTGCCTTCACCTTCACACTTTCCTTTCTTATTGTGTTCGAAATCATGTTGAGGGGAATTAAGCCCATGTTTTTGGCAAAAGGAGCCTAAGGATATTTGTGCTAAAACCTCAAGATATTTTGGCAAAACTAGCGTCGAGATACTTTAGCCAGACCCCGCATTTTAAACATGTACTTTGACTTCAAAGTATAAATCATACTTCAAAAGATATTATACATATTAAAAAAGAGAAAAAGTTAAGAAAATCAGTGAGAAAGTTTCTGTTTAAAAAAAAAATTATTGGTAAGCAGCAGCACTTCATGTGTTTTTATACATAAAAAATATCAAATTTTTAAAATTTCATACGCAGAAAGTATCGGTATCTCAATTTTGATCTTTCAGGCCAAGAATTATAAGTTTTTATAGATTATCATGTTAATTTAAATTATAATGTGTTATGTTACTCAATAATTTTTTTGAGCTGATGTTATTTAATAATTTTAAATATAGCAAGGGGAGGTTTTACATTTTAATGTGTAATGATACTTGCATCTTTTCAATTAACAGGATTAAAACTAGAATCTTTGAATGTTTTATGACCTACTTAATCATCTAACGATACTTTCTTAAGATGTGTCAAAATGCTGGAAACATTTTATACATGTATAAGAGCACAAGAGAGTAATTGGTAAGATCTTAGGCACCGTCTTGAATTATTTATTTAAGTTTAGGTTAATGGCCAACTTAGTTCAATTTAGTTACATTTGATTCATTCTAATTAATTCATTTGATTTAACTTTTTGTGGGATGCTGACTATGAACCTAAATCAAGTTTTGCTTATACATCTTCAATTTAATTCTTTTTCTTCACTAGACACTAACCCCTAATAACTTGGAAATTTTTTTCTTTTGTGTGGATGACCCACTTTACACCTTGGTACCTTGTACTATTTGCAAATATGAAAGTTAATAATTTACAAAATGTCAAGCACCCAATTTTGCTTTGTTGGCACATATTCTTTCATTGTGCTTATTAAATTTAGAGGTTAAGGAATCTATCAACAAAAAATATGTAAAAAAAAATTAAATTTGGCCTCGGCTGGCAGAATAAAAACACACACCAACAGTATAATGAAATACTAGTTCAGTCTATTTTGTCCAGACAAGATGAAAGAGATGTTTGGGTATAAACAAAATCATGTTTTAAAAATGTTTTTACGGTATGCGAAATAAATATGTAGAGAAATTTATCTCGATTTATAAAAAAATACTTTTCAAAGCACTTTTTGGATTACCAAACATCCTCTAAAGCATTAAAAATACAAAATTGACACATAACTGCTTTAATTTCCATTTTTTGTCACTTGGCCATGACCAGTAACTACTTTTCTTTCTTTGGAAAAAAAGAATAACAGGTAACTACTTTTCTTTAGGTGTGTGGTAGGTTGAATTTACTCATGTTGTTAGGAGTATTAATAATCTCGTTAGTGCCTATTAAGATAGGATAAGCACAAACTCAAACTTATGAGAATCCGAAATATTAAACTGATTATCAAGTAATTGAATCGTATTCCTCCCCTTCTAATTTCTTTTTTTGGTGAATAAAAGTTTAGGTGAGTTGGGTTTTAAAGGTTCACCAGGCTAGAGCATGCATCAGACCCAAAAACGTTTACAGAAATACTTACAGATCGCCCACTAATAAGGTCTTACATTGACAGTAGGATTCGAACTCACGACCTTGTGAGTTATGAGCCGACCCCCTACTAATTTCTTTACTTTATATTTCCTTTAGTTTTGAATGTATTTTTTATTTAATTTATAAAAATTAACAAAATGAGTTAAATTAATTGCTTATTTTTAATTTGTCAAAAATTTATTACCCTTTTCCGAATTACCCATATATTTAATTGACTATATTAAGTTTCTTGAGCAAAAAAGATCATTACTTGGAAGTATTTCATAAAAAGTATTATTTAATATAGTTGGTAAGAGTGCAAAGCCTTACATTAATAATCAAAATAAAAATTTTTAAAATGATCTTATATTCAGAACTAGAGAGAGTAATAGTTGTTTAGTGGTTGATTTAGGCATTTTCCTCAAAAGGGAACAATCCTGTTGTTGTTGAATTTGATGGGTTTGATTCAATTTGGAATAGGAATACTTTACGTGCATGAAAAATAATTTATTTATTTATTTATTAAATCTAAATCATCCATATATACTTCTTTCTTCGTATGATTTTCTCTTGTTACAATACATATGGCGATTTATTAGAGGAAGAACACAGTATGACTATAAACCCTATACTTTCGTGAAATTTAGAATCTCTACAATTGTGACCTTATATGTTTATTTTTTTTTTTTTTTTTGATAAACCGTCAATTGTCATCTAATATCTTTATTTACTTCAAACTACACGAATCTCATACATTACCATATGAATTATGAAGTTTAAAACTAAAAGTCGCATGAGATTTAGTAATAGGAAAATTTGGAATAAATCTCTTATTAAGAAATTAATCGATAAATGATGCATAAGAACTTTATGCAACTTTACTTTTCTTAATTTTTTTATATGCAATCTATCTTTCTTGGTGTACAAGCATCTTCTCTTGTGACAATATTTTCTTTGTACAATTCAACTTTTTTCATATGTAATTATCTCTCCTTATATATGTACAAGTTATATTTCTTACGTGTAAATTAATTTCTTGTATCTAAATAATGTTCTGTACAAACTATCTTTCTTATGTGCAACTCAACTTCCCTTTTGTGTAACCCATTATCTTAGAAATCATTTGCTAATTAATTTTTTTAAAGAGGTATTTATTCTCGATTGTTTTTAGTTATATGTATGTTTTGATCATTGTTTGAAAAATCCACCTAAATTTAGTTCTCCCCTGCCTTTTTTCATTGTTCACCCAACATAAAGAACTCATGCACCCAACATGTTTAAGGGAGTTGAACACACATCTCATACTTAACATTTAACTAAGACTTAAAAAATCCTTAGAAGGTGTTTAGAAAAAAAACTAAATCATGATTTCAAAAGTAATTTTATAATATATGAAGTAAATATATTAGAAAAATTTTGTTTTGATGTAAAAATACTTTTTAAAAATAAATTTTGTCATTACCTTTTGTTTTTTGCCCAACGTTTTTTGTGATTGCCAAACCCTCACTCGGTATCGATTAGATTAAACAGAGCCAACCTGCCTCCTCGCTTATTATTAAAATAATTTCAAGAATATATCTTGAAAGTGTGCTGACACTTCACAATGACATTTATAGCCTGCTTCCTTTGCGTTATCATGTGGAATGCGTCAGTGTTCATGATTAGGAGATACTACCTCTGGTACTTAGTATAAGATCTTATTTAACTTTTATTTTGATCCTAAATATAATACCCCAATTCACTTTGTCTCTCATATTTATATATATATTTTTCCTAATGTAGTCCTTTTAACAATAGTAATTCTAGCCAATACACTTGATTAGTAAGAATATTTTAGAAAAAACAACACCTATTTATTACAAATAACTAACTTAACTTCTTTTTTAATCTCCTCAAATTAGTCAATTAGCTCTTATAATTAGAACCAGAGGTAGTAGTATATTTCATATTTTATATTAATATTAATCGTGAGATTTGTTAAATAACTACTTAAATAGTGATATATATGTAAATCCATTTTATTTTGTGTAATCAATAAATATGAGTAACTTAATAATCTTATTAAATATATACAATAGTATTATATGTATTTAATAATCTTGTTTATAATTAAATGTTATAATAATTTTTTAAGAAACATTTTGAATATCTTTTGCTCTACTTTTTAGCGATGTTCAATCTGTAAAATGTGCAAAACACACGGATGATGGGGACAAAAAGCGAAACATCTTCAGTAGCTTTCCAACAATATTAGTATTTATTCAACAAAAATGCACTGGATAATTATGTTTTATCCCTCAAACAAACAGCTATATCGTAGGAGCGTATATATATTTTCATTAACGTTAAATATGTGTGAGTGATATATATATATACTCCTGTGGTCCTTAATGTAAGACCCATTTAACTAATTTGATTAGATTAAGGAAGTTAGGTAAATTAGTTAATTATAAGAAAAGTGACACATTTTTCCTAAAACACCATAATCATCTTTCTTAATACCCCATCTTCCACTTCTACTTGATTATGGTTGAGGGAGTATTTATAGGGGTAATTTAGAGAAAAATAATAAATATGAGAAATGGGTCTTATATTTAGGATCAAAACCAACTCAAAAATTAGGTCTTATATTAAGAACCGGAGGAGTATATATATAAACGACCTTCGAGAACAAGCTTTGTGCTTTTTGGGGGGGCTGAATTAGAAAAGCAGCAAAAGGGCATATATAAAAGTGATAATTTAGACAAAAAGGTCAAAAAAAGATAAATTTCTGAACAAAGGTGAGTGTGTAGTCAAGTCACGTTTGCCTCGATTAATAATAATATAAGGATAGAGATTTTGAATTGGATTACTCACAAACCGGTCTGAATATG